AATAAATACTTCAGTACAAAACTGATTTTATAATAAAATAATTGACAAAGTAGAAAATCTCCATTAAAATGAGACTGGTAGCAGTGATCTCGTTAAATTGGAAGTAAAAGTAAAAAGTTGGTATCCAAGAAATATTTGGCATATTATTAATCTTGCAGTAATTTAAACACTGAAATGTTTTATGAATCATTAGTAAATAACCAGCATCAATGTTCTAGTTACAGACATGTTATTCATGTTGCAGTTTTATGTTCTATGAATTAACAAGTGGTAAACACAGAAATATCTTATGTACTATCCACAATCGTATAGAGGTAATTTAATACAAGCCCTAGGAACATAATTGATTTAAAATAGGCAACTCATGACGAAAATTAATTCACTTAAGTAAAATCACAAAAATCATAGTCTTCTTCATTAACAAACTAGTTGTACTGAAAGCTGCGTAAGTACATGAGTAAGCACATTATCCAGTCATAGCAGCACTTTAAGCAAAGCAGACATAAGCAGGGATACCACGAGTAAATCTCTATAAAAATCTAAATATCACATAGTTACAGGTAGGTTAGTAAGTACTAACGATAGCGAACAGAACAAAAGTAAATCTTTCATATAATCTTTGTAAAGTGGACAGGTCCTAAATATTCTCATTCTCCACAGTTCATTTTATAATAATACTGTATTTTCATATACATTGTTAGATATTACAAATATAAAACCGGTTGGCATCTTCATACAAGGGTGATGTAATATGTAATATAAGAATGAAAAGGAAAAATACCATTGACTTCAAATAGTCAAAGGAAAATTCTCATCTTATTATAAACTTTGAAAATGTTTGGATGATTCAGATTGGGAACGTTGGAGTGCCCTGATGAGAAGTATACTGTATTAAACAACAATAAACAAATAGTAAACAACTCTACATAAACACTTTCATAAAATAATATTTTTTTTATCTTTAGTTTCTCCACAAGGATAATAAACTTGCAAGGGAGAATGTTTAATCTGTGAAAGTAATGATAAAGATTCATATTGTAGCACTTGTTAAACTGCTAATATGATTTACGCCAGTGAAACTATTGACTTAATTGCAAAATGCACACTTTGAAATATAACAATAATTATTGTTAACATCTACAGCTAGAAACATGAAGGTACAGTTATTGTTCCCAGAATCTGTGGTATCCCAGTACGTACACATATAACTATCAAGAATACAATATATGTTTTGCATAAAAATATTAACGCTAAACTACACTTTAGTGATCACATTTAGAAGGCAATACATACAAGGCTTTTACGCTACCACAACATGTTTTAGCAGAGGAAGATTTTCAAGTTCTAAGCTAATAAATCTCAGCATTATCACATGGTAAATTAAAATCAGTTATTGATAGTATTTGAAACCAGGATTTCACCGTTACAGTCCTAGACCAGCACGATAACACAAACTGGCTTTATTGATCGACTCCTTTGGTTTCATAACATTTTCTTTTATAAACGTTTGAGATTAACATGAGTAAACTTTTTACCACTGCAAAAAGACACATCTATTTTAAACACTTTTTTCACTGGCAAGGAAATAGTTATTTGTGCAACTAATGGCTCGTGAGTAAGGATTTCTCTCGAGTGAGTCAATTGCACTTTGCACTCGAGCTGCACATTATATTTTTCCTACAGTTACAATAAAACAAATAAATTAGTAAAGAAACGTGACATATTTTTACACAGAAGTGAACTTTTAATATGACATTTAATGATCAACAAGATCAACAACAGTACAACAGCTGACCAGCTGATTTACAGCCAGTGCTGCCAACGTATTTCGCGTGCATACGACCTTGTCTACATGTTACGCACTCACTATTTCATGCCTTCACGTTGCAAATCTGGAGTGAGAGAAAGTAATTAGAGTGAGACAATGTTAACATTGTCTCACTGATGAGCGAATTGGCCACTTTGCTTTCTCAAATCAGTGAGAGAACATGTACATTGTTAGGTAACTCGAGGAAAATGTCTTTAATCATACAATATTTGTTATTTTAGTTGTGGTCCTCTGAAAATGGCCATGTCTCATCATCACTATTCCATGTTGGCAGACTTGACTCCTGCACAGTGAAATCTTAAACTATAAAGTGGTGTTTGCATTTTGCAGGGAGATGTTGTAGATTCTATCTGGTGAGATGGGAGTTAGGATTTCCCTCATCCCCAGAAATGTGCAGTGGAGATAACAGGTTCGTGGAAAGCCCGACACCCACCCCACCTACAACCTACAACTTCAGCCTGCAAATACCACATGAAACTTCACTATGCAGAAGTCAATTCCCTTTAAGATCTTCCCATTCAGCCTTACATCGAGGCTGAAAAATTGGATAGTAATCATCTAAACTGTTCCACGGCCATTACCCAAAGTGAATGAATTACAATACAATTAAGGAAGCTTAAATGAAATCTGTTCAATAATCTTTGACATGTTGTGGTTGACGTTGCAGTCTTAGACAGGCAAGTAACAAGTAAAACTGGCCAATACTATCTACTACACAAGTTACACTGGGTAACTGGAGCCTGAAAAATAAACACAATAAGTTATTTTACCCGTAATAGAAACCCTCTGTAACCCACATGACAACCATATTGTGGACATTATTTTATGTCCTTAGAAAATATTAAGTTCTATTTTGTTATCAAAGAGTAAAGAGACAGTTAATGTTTGCATCCTTTAAAACAGGTTAAATTTCTTATTTGAATTTGCACACTCCAGCTGTACAAAGTGAGGTAGATGAAAATTGTTAAGGTTTCTACTATTGTTAGAAAAACATCGCTAATAACTGCAGAGCTTAAAATGCTTGGTTAATAGCAAGGCACTTTCTATGAACCCTTTTCACCAACTACAGGTGCCAGTGTAAGGAAACAACTTGTTTAGCGACACGTTTTGAAGGATTTGGCAATCAATGTTCCACTATGATTATCATTATCAATACTTTTGAAACAGCAACCTAGGTGGGTATTTTACAGGGTGTCTAGTTTATTTCCATTATAAAATTCAAGACTAATTCCAGACTTTTCAAGACTAATTCCAGATTTTTCAAGACTAGTTTTTTCCACAATTAGTGGGTGTTGATACCAAAATGTATCGATTCTCGATTCTTGATACCAATACCAATTTTTATAGCTATTTCTAACCAAATTTTCTAAATAATACTACACCAACTCTTTGTCTTTGTCATAAAGTAGTATTATGATAGTGTGGTGTTTTCAAGTAAAGAAATAATGCAGCAATAAAACAATCTAACTAGCAAATTTGGTTTTTTTTATCATGAAATCTTCTGCGCACCATACGTTTAGACATCATCATTGACTGCAGCGGTTACAGAAACGTGATTGTCGTCGTCCGCGATCACGGCAAAATCATAAACACTTCCCGCGGCCGTGTATACATCATCGTCGTCTCCTGCGGTCACGGAAACTCCATCGTCACGTCCCGCGGCCACAGAAACGTAATCGTCGTCGTCCGCGATCGCGATAAAATCATGAATATTTCCCGCGGCCGAGCAGATATCATCGTCGACTCCCGTGGTCACGGAAACGTCATCGTCATCTCCCGCGGTCACGGAAACGTCATCGTCATCTCCCGCGGTCACGGAAACGTCATCGTCATCTCCCGCGGTCACAAAAACGTCATCGCCTTCGTCCTCGATCGCGGCCAAATCATGAACACTTCCCGATGCCGTGTAGACATCATCGTCATCTCCCGCGGACACGGAAACGTCATCGCCGTCGTCCTCGATCGCGGCAAAATCATAAAAATTTCCCGCTGCCGTGTAGACATCATCGTCGTCTCCCGCGGTCACGGAAATGTCATCGTCGTTGTCCGGGATCGCGGAAAAATCATGAACGTTTCCCGCGGCTGTTTAGACATCACCGTCATCTCCCGCGGTCACGGAAACGTCATCGTCATCTCCCGCGGTCACGGAAACGTCATCGTCATCTCCCGCGGTCACGGAAACGTCATCGTCATCTCCCGCGGTCACGGAAACGTCATCGTCGTCGTCCGGGATCGTGGCAAAATCATGAACATTTTCCGCGGCTGTTTAGACATCACCGTCATCTCCCGCGGTCACGGAAACGTTATCGTAGACGTCCGCGATCACGGCAAAATTATGAATATTTACCGCGGCCGTGTAGACACCATCGTTGTCTCCCGCGGTCACGGAAACGTCATCGTCGTCGATCGCGACAAAATTATGAACATTTCCCGCGGCCGAGCAGATATCATCGTCATCTTCCGCGGTCACGGAAACATCATCATCATCTCCTGTGGTCACGGAAACGTCATCGTCGTCTCCCGTGGTCACGGTAACGTTATCGTCGTCCCCAGCGGTCACGGAAAGGTCATCGTCGTCTCCCGTGGTTTCGGAAACGTCATCGTCGTCGTCCACTATCGCGGCAAAATCATGAACATTTCCCGCGGCCCTGTAGACAACATCGTCGTCTCCCGCGGTCACGGAAACGTTATCGTCGACGTCCGCGATCACGGCAAAATCGTGAACATTTCCAGCGGCCGTGTAGACATCATCGTCGTCTCCCGCGGTCACGGAAACTTCATCGTCATCTCCCGCGGTCACGGAAACGTCATCGCCGTCGTCCGCGATCGCGACAAAATCATGAACATTTCCCGAGGTCGTGAGGACTATCATCATTGGCTATCGCGGTTACGTAAACGGAAGACGGCGATCGCGGCAAAATCATAAAAATTCCCGACTTTGAAATCAAATTTAAGACTAAATCCCGACTTTTCAAGACTATTTTGAAATTCAATACTAATTCCCGACTTTCCCGATTTTCCCGACTACTAGACACCCTGATTTTAAGTTCAAATGAATGCAAGAAGAGTGTAAAATTATGAATGAGATGAGTGTAAACTGACTAAGATCAGCTGTTCCTTCATCCAAAACATTTATTAAAAGCCCGATGTTTAAGGTTAGCTAGGCCCAGTTTGGAACCATCAAAAATCTAACTTGATGTTTTCAGAATAAAACAGACAACCTTCTCATTGATTGTTAAACAAGCACTATAACCACTTAGTTACCCAGCCGCTCAATAACCTTCAGGCTACAACAATTCTGATGCAAGATGGTAAAAAACACAACCTCAAGGAAACGTAAACAATATCTTCACCACACTATGATGTTTTTAGCCGTTGTACAAATGTTAATTGGAGGCTGAAAGCTACGTATTGCTGTCCATTCCACGTTATTGTCATTTGGTGACCGAGCAGGTTTTGGCGGCACTAGGGCTGAAAATCAGCTGTTCGCCTATTTACTTAAAAGGGATTTGCAGCTCCCGATGATCTCGAGCTGGCAAAACCTCATTTTTGGCCCTAGGTACGAAATATACTATTGAAAAAAACTGTCTACAGTAGTGTACTGATTCAAAATAGGCTACACAGTGATGAAGTTAATAAAACTTAACTGACAAACATTTTCAGTCATTAGATAGTTTTTCACGGTTTAAGGCACTGAAAATTTGAAAGTTTTAAGGCTCCAGTTTCCCTGCAATGAGACAGATGAAATGTAATAAATAAATTTGTACATGAAATATATAGACGACGACAACAGAACAAAGCTATATAAAGTGTTACACAAGTCAAGAGTTGGCAGTTACTTTAGAGACGGGACCTTCTCCGGGAAGGGACTAGACTAACATAACAGACTACCAGGTAGCTCAACACTTACAAAATATAGTCTCAAAACAATTCTTATAAAACTCTAAAGTTTATCAAACAGTGTGTATACTTGTTAAAATATTTACAAACATCGGTTTTTCATAGGTAAGGCCAGCATTTAAATTTAAATGAAAAACTGTATTAGCATCAATTCCATATTGAAAGCTTTAACAGTACTTTTCAACAATTCATCAAGCACATATAGGCATTTAATGGTAATATTATAGGCTATGTTTAAATGCACAGCGTTATCCTGTATAGTACGGCTGTTGGATAAAATGTGGATAAACGTAAACAATGATTAAATAGTAGTAAAATTACTGATTAAGTAACATCAATCACATAAAGTTAACAATAACTATAAAACAAACAAGGTTATAACAAGTTATAGAGGGATTTAACATTAGTTTAAATGCTTGAAAAATTCATCAGATTAATTTAAAATTGATTCAATATATTTATTTGGTGTATTAGTACTTATTGGTTTGTTAACATAAGGTATTTTAATTAATTTGTTATTTTATTTAAATGCGTCATAAATTAAATTTTTCTTTAATTGGTAGACAATAGTTATAAACATAAATATTAATCAGTTGCACGAGATAATATTGTTATAAACACAACAAATTGGAACAGAATGCCTTATGCTAATGCCTAACAATTGTCCCTCACACTGGAGAAACCTAGCCTATAGAATGTGTTAAAAAAAACTGAGGTAAATATTTAACTGGTATTTTATTATAGAAATAAATAAAAGAGGAATGCTTTCTTCCCTGAATTAAAGTGAGGTTATTTACTTCTCTACATTTTCATAAATTAAACCTAAGGAAATCATAAGCCGGGTGTCTACCAGTTCCCTTAATTACAAGATAATGACTTTTCAGGGGCGTATTTCAGTATTTCAATTCAGAACTATCTGTTGTCATTGTTTATCTGCTATAACGAGAAAAAAAACATCAAATGTTAAACTCATGATTTGACCATTCAGTAAATCTTGAGAGAGTATACATGTAGGACAGTTTCTATCAAAATAAATAAGATAATTTTAAAACAATCCCATGTTTCAATTGTAGCTTCCAATTTCCATGAATGAAAAATCACATTCAGCCCTTGTAAAATCTGTGATTTAGCCTTTTAAAATAAAATCGCTAAAATCTGTGACTTCTCAGACGCACCCTCGAGTATAATTAGTCACTTAGCAATGACTTCTGTAACTGGTAGACTGAACTTATCGCTCTATTGGATACAATGTGTGATTATAATCTTAATCCATGGCAAGGTGAAGTGTCAATGACAGACAATAGAGTCGAACAGTTGTTATACAAGAAACATCTGAGTTACTGCGGTCGCCACTCTACCTGGAGGCGTCCAGTTCCCTGCGGTCAGCTTCATCCATCTCAGTGTCGCCGTAGCCCCACAGACGACTGCCGTCTCCGCTACGGGCCGCCCGGCGCCTCACCATCGACTCACTCACAGTCTTGCAGTCGTAGGCCCAGCCCAACCGCGCGAACGCATCTATGAACGCTGTCGTCCAGTTGAAGCAGTACTTGCCCAGCTCTGAGGTCTTGTAGTCCCAGGGGAACACGTGATGGTAGTTGTGCCAACCTTCGCCCAAAGCTCCCAGAGACACCAGTACGTTCTCTACGGGACTGATGCTCCTGCAACAGAAACAATGACTGAGTGTAAAGATTGACAACATTTATTTGTTCATTGTGATTAGCCACAAAACAAAAGCTTACTATGTTGATGTACTGAGGAAATGAGATTTCTTTCCTAGGTCATCTAGTATCTTCACGAGGTGTCTGTATCGATCCAGCTAGAACCCAGGCAATCAGGGATTTCCCCCTCCCAGAGATGTCAAAGGCATTGCCCGTTTCATCGGCATGGTGGGTTTCTACCGGCGCTTCATCCCCAAGGTGGCTGAGTTGGCGGCTCCGCTCAATGAGCTTCGGAAGAATGGCGCCAAGTTTGTTTGGGGTGAAGCACAACAGATGTCTTAGAAGCTATCATGCAACCTCCGGTTTTGGCGATGCCAGATTTCAGTCGAAAGTTCGTTTTGCAGACCGATGCTTCCTCCGTCGCTATTGCGGCTGTGTTGTCTCAAGAGGTAGATGGTGTTAGGCAGCCAATTGTGTATGCCTCACGCACTTTGAACCCATGCAAAAAGAAAAGCTCTTCTGCGTATGAGTGTATGGCTATCGTGTTTGGAGTGAATAAGTTCAGACGTTTTTTGGAACACAGAGAGAAGAGTTTTTGCTGGAAACCGACAACCAAGCGCTCTCGTGGCTCCTTGCACATCCTCGCCAGCTTGGGAAAATAGGTCGTTGGGTGGTCCAAATATCTTCACTCAAATTCCAAGTGCAACATGTTCGAGGCACGCAGAATGTGATTGCTGACACTTTATCCAGGATGTATCACTCACCTGACGACCAACCTTCTGATCAGGAGGTGCACACTGGGTGTGCCGTGCTCCTGGAGTTTCCCCTTGCCTTTTCTGAGTTCATCCCACATCAACTAAAAGATCCCGAGCTGGCTAAGATCATTGATGAGCTTCAAAATGGGGGAGCCCACTCCCGTATTTATTCCAAACTACCTTCACTCTTTATTTTGGTATGAAGAGGTACTAGTGATCTTTATTACAAATACTCAGAATACCACAAGCAACGCCATTACCAAGACACAAAATTCAATAAGGAATAAACATCTCACCAAGAACCTCAGGAATATACCCAACAGGTCAGGACTAAATAAATAATATAACTTATGTTAATGTTGGCTACTAATTCAAACTGCAGAATTTCAAAGAAGTTTTCTCAACTTACTTGTCGTAAGGTCGAGAACCCCACATGTGAGCGAAACTGTTTACAGCGAAGGCCATGTTGAGGGTTAGCGAGAAACGGAAGTTGAAGTTTATGAAGAATGAAATCCACAAATCTTCATTCCAGTAATAACATGGGATCAGCACTGGGAGCCCGATGCAGAAAATAGCGAAGAGAGGAATGTAGAGCCTAAAAAAACACAGAATAATACAGTATCTCTTAGAAATAAATATATAAAAAATTACATTTGTTTTCTCATTCATTTGAGTATTCTTTACTTAAGGAAATAATCATACACACACTTTTTTTACATATGCTAGCTCTGATTTTATGAGACCAACATTACAACCCAGACTTATATCTGCTCCAGTATACTGCCATTATTATCACCATGCAATCAACATCAATAATTGTATTTTTGCAATATTTGCACCATTATTAGTTTCTAAACAGGTTATAACATCAGTTTGAGTGTTGTTACAATTTGGGGGTTTTAAAATAAGAAACCATGAAGCCCTGGACTACTGAAGCAGATTTTCATCGAGGATCAGCAAAGCAAAAGAACTCATAGATTCCACTGTCAAGGCCTGACTCCCCCCCCCACAAGTTTTTCCTCCTAACACAAACCCTTTTTATATTCGACACTACCAAGATAGGATCCCATGAAATTCTGTGCATTGTAATATTTATTTATTTTAGATTGCACCACTGGTGCTTAAGTTATCAGCTGTTATTTTTTGTGAATATGTCTGACTAACTAACCTCAATCTCTGCTGGCCAACAACCAACAAGTCGAGTTTTAGTGTGATTTTACTTTATCAGTTTACTCCGTGATTATAAGTTGTAAATTTGTAAAAGTTTATTTTGATATTATATATTGTGCCTTGACTGAAATGTGACATTACTTTTAGAAACTTGAGATACTATTTTTAGATGGTTTTTGTGAACTTTATTGACTGTTTACCAACAACCAATATCGCGGGTGTGACTTTTATCACTTTGGATATTTATTAATTGTAAATTTGTACATATTTAGTTTGTAAACTTTTTCTTATGGACAGATTTACCAAATTTGAGGTTTGGGACATTACATTTAACCCGTTTTTGAAACATTTTGTCATAATGAAAAAACAATTTGATCGCCACGTGAAAAAGGTGCAGCAGCATTTTGTATTAAACACTATAAAATATTTATTTATATTTGATAGCAAGCCTAGTGGTAAGTAGGCCTACCTCTTCTGCCACAGTACGATGGGGTCGTTGTCCAGGTCACTCATGTCCACAGCCTTGCGCCTCACCTCCACATCAGGGTGAGGTGTGAGTACAAGCCAGCCTACATGAGAGAACCAGAACCCTCTCCTGGCGTCGTGTGGGTCTGAGTCTGTCTCACTGAACTTGTGATGCACTCTGTGGTCTAGGGCCCATGCGTACACGTGCCTCTGTTATCAAATAATCAATCAATAGTACACTACAAAGTACAAATACAAACTTTCGTTTTTGACAAACGTTGTCTATGACAACTGAGTCAGAAACGGGGGCAAACACTACTCCTTAAAAATACCATTCAGAGACTTAAAGAATCATTCAGTACAGTAATTTTCTACGATTACTAAGAACTACAATATTGATACAAAGTTTACCACTATAAGTTACTAAATATAATCACGTAGCGGTTTACCTGGCCAGCAATGGTGAACAAGAAGCAGAGTAGAAGCCGCAGAGGCCACTTAGCCTTGTAGGCTCTGTGAGACCACAGCCTGTGCGCCCCAGCTGTGATACCAAACCCTGACGTGTAGACCATTGCGAATGCTGCGGAAAACAAATCAGTTCTTACATCAAACGTTATATACTGTGTGCAAAAACAAACGTTCTAGGAAAAAAATATAATTTGGTGCAATTGAAAAGGAATTGGCTCATTTGTTCAGTCAATTGCACTGAACATTATGTGATTGATGTCCATAACAACAGTTACAACTTATGAGCTGAGTGAAAAAGGTAACACCTACTTTGTACTCAAATAAACACTGCCTATATGAATAATGACCAGTTTTTAATAATTTCATGTTTATACTTTACATGAATCTGTATACAAATGTAGCATGAATGTACAAGGCATGACATTGAATGTCTGTATGTGTGTTTTTTTTAAACTAGCCTATCCTGATATTCTTGTGATAATTGAATATGGACTTGAGAAGCCTGAAACTATAGTAGTGCACAAACAAACATGTATTGATTTACATAGCAGGTAACCTGAGGTACATTTAAACTATTCCATGAGGAAATGTCTGTATTTTTTTGTAAAGTAACTGGAAAATACAAGGCTTTGCAAAGCACTACGCATAAGAGTACCTACCCCAAGGGACAGTGTACCACTGGGCCCTGGTGATCATGAGGTAGAGGCCGTAGAGAGCTCCGCCATGTACAAACAGCTGAGCAGCGAGGTCTGGCCAGCGGATACGAGGAATGTACTCCGGCTTGCGTCCACACTGGGCGTCTCCACCTACCTGTCAAGGGAAAATTTATTTTTATTTTCATTTATTCAATGCTGACACATCATTGAACGAGGAGTTTGTTAACATCTTGAGGACCAGCATAGCGGAGGAGCTCCATCTAGCTGGCCTGAGCTCAACACCCAGTAAACCTGATATCCCTGAGCTGACGACCAGCACACCCTGTGTCATCCAGGCAGATACACCATCAGCTGAGCCTCGCTACACTTGTCAAGCTGCACCACCCTCTGTGACTGACCCTACCTCACCAACCGCAAAACTGCCATCATCACTGCCCACACTGGCATCCACGTCTCTTCAGAGCTCTACACCTTATCTCGCTGACAACTCCCTGCCTCCTACGATGACATCCCGACAGCGGCAACCAATCATCAACAACGGTGTTAGTCAAGTTTCAAGTGCTATGGGCAAAATGTGAATGTGAGTGTCAGTGTGACCGGTGATGATCAACCTAGTTTTTTAGGATAAAAAATAATTTAAAATGTGATTCAACAATGATTCAAAATCCCAACATAAAAACACCTTTTTGTAAAACCTCCTATCTCAGTATTTTTCACCAAAACGTCCAACATCTAGAATCACGGATTGATGTTTTAGAAATTCTATTAGAGCAGATAAAAACTGATGTATTAGTTCTTACAGAGCACAAAATGAAAGATTTTGAAATTGATAGATTAAATATAAAAAATTTTCATGTTTGCTCTTTCTATTCTCGCCATTCAACCTCAGGCGGTGGAGTTTTAATTTTAGCCAAACCTGAATTACAAATTAAAGAAATACGTATACCTGCTGTTAATAACTTAATAATGGATAAAGAATTTGAATGTGCGCTTGTTGAAATTAAAACACAAAAACTAACTTTAGTTCTTGCCGGTGTCTATAGGACTCCGCGACAATGTTTCACAAATACTTTCCTGGACAAGTTAAATACTTTACTTGAAATTCTGAACAAAATGTATGCCCATGTTGTTGTTGCTGGGGATATAAATATCGATGTTTTAGAAAGCAATAGTACGAGTAATAGACTAAAAAATATTGTTGAATCACATTCAATGTACTGTTCTGTGAATTTCCCTACGAGAGTGTGTGACACTAAAGAAAGTTCAATTGATCAGATTATAACAAATATTAATAAAAATGAAATTGTCGTCACAGGACTAATTACTGAGATATCTGACCATGATGGTCAGCTTTTTGAAATACATTTTGGCAACTCAAACAAATCAAAAAACAAATCCATCACCACCACTCGTAGAAAATTCACAGAAGACAAAAACGCACAGTTTATGCATTTAATTTCTCATGAAAATTGGCATGATGTCTATAACGCTCCTGTAAATGATAAGTATGATGTGTTCATCAATGTTTTCATGTATTATTTTAACTTGTGTTTTCCTATGGTAAAATGCAGACAGACTTCCAAAAAAACAGGCTGGATGAACCAACACATTGTACAGAGTAAACAGGAAATCGACAGACTAAGTAATTTAAATCGGCTTACCAGGGACAAAAATGTTAAATTGGCCTTGAAAAACAAAAAAACTGAATTAAAATCCCAAATTCTTGGAGCTAAAACTAACTTTTTCAGTAATAAGATACGAAATGCAGACAATGTATGCAAGACAACATGGAATGTTATAAATAAAGAGGTAGGCAGCAGTTCAATCCGCCAACAAAACATTACTTTAAAGCATAGAAACAGAGACGTCAGTGATCCCAGGTTGGTAAGTGCACTCCTAAACCAGTACTATGCCAACATGGTTGAAACAGAAGTTATCCCAAACATACCCAACAAAGCTAAAAGTATCCAAACACCCCTTTTGAGCCACTCAAATAAAAGTTTTCTTCCTCAACCACTATCATTAGAAGAAATCAAATCAATAGTTTTGTCTTTTAAAAATAAATTTTCTTGTGGTTATGATGAGATCCCCATGCCTATTATTAAAACAGCAATTGACTATCTAAAATATCCGTTATGTCATCTTGTAAACTCTTCTTTTATTACAGGTATTTTTCCTGACAAATTAAAGATTTCTAAGATTAAACCAGTCTTTAAAAAGGGAGACCCCGCTATACCTTCAAACTATAGACCTATATCTTTACTACCATCCTTTTCTAAGATATATGAAAAAGCTATGTGTATAAAACTAACAGAATTTCTGGAAACCAACAACTTGATAGATAAAGAACAACATGGATTTCAATCCGGCAAGTCTGTGATTAGTGCTAGTGTTCAGTTCATTGAATCAGTAATAGATTCGGTTGATAAGAGAAATAATGTTACTGGGGTCTTCATGGACCTCAGCAAGGCTTTTGATAGTGTGTCACACTCCAAGCTGGTAAATATCCTGTTTTGTTTGGGTATCAAGGGAAGAGCTTTAGATTGGTTTAAATCATACTTAAATAACAGACAGCAATATGTAGAAATAACTAATGTCACAAACAACAATAAGGTAAATTTTACTTCATCATTGGAAATTTTAAAATATGGAGTGCCACAAGGATCAATCCTGGGACCACTGTTGTTCATATGTTATACAAAGGGTTTACCAGATGTATTAGATGATGCAAAAGTCTGTTTATATGCTGATGACATTAGCTTACTTGTATCTGGTAATACCCATCAAAAAGTAGAGTCAATAGCAAATAACCAATTTCCACACGTAAATACTTTCTTAAACAATTTAAACCTTTTAGTAAATATAAATAAGACAAAGTGCATATCTTTCTCAACATATCAAAGTAATAAACCAGCTCAACACAGAATTTTGATGGAAGGAAAATGTCTAGAAGAACTGCAAAATTTTAAATTCCTAGGACTTGTACTTGACAAAAATTTGAATTGGAACCTTCATATTGAACATCTTGGCTGTAAAATTTCATCAGGGATTTTTGCTCTGAGAAAAATGTCTAAATTATGTCCTTTGGAAACATTAAAAATAATTTACTTTGCTTTTATTCACTCCCACATCTCCTTTGGCATAATTTTGTATGGTGCAACCTCTCATGAAAATTTGGAACAAATATTATTATATCAAAAAGAAGCACTTCGTATCATGTTAAACATTCAAGATTGGAGAACCTCAGTTAAAGAACAATTTTCAAAACTTGGTATTCTTACTGTTTTTGCCCAATATATCTTTGATTTGATCTTGTTTGTAAAGAATAATTTACCAAAATTTGAGACCTTGGGTTCATGCCACAGCTATGGGACAAGGCACAGACACAAAATCAGTTTTTCAAATCACAACTTAAAATTCTTTGAAAATAAACCGTCATATGCTGGGATTAAATTTTATAACCATCTACCAGATAATATTTTACAAATAACAGACAAAAATAAATTTAAAAAACAGCTAAAAACTTTTATGTTATCCAAGCCCATTTATTCCCTAGAAGAATTTTTTTGGTTGAATGTGTTGTAAATTGTAAGTTATAAGATTTGTATTTTTGTTTAGCCTTTTTATATAAGTTATGGTTAGTTCTAACAATATAATTTAATTGTATAACGCCATTCTGGTGCAACATGTTGTACTGCTGAATAAAGATTATATGACTATGACTATGACTATGACTATCATGGTGGGTTCTCAAAAGCAAAGATGAGTAAACGAATGAAATGATAGCTTTGTTACTGACTAAGATCGACTGGTTCTTTAGCCACCATTTGAAAGCCCACACGATGATCCCACACGATTGGGACCAATAACCATAAAACGCATCTTACTTACTCAGGATCAGTCAAGAGCACTATAGATAAGCTACCAGGCTGTCGATGTCAGAAAATGTATTGATGTTTTAATAGAGATATTCATAATGTAAACATGTAGTGTTTCAGAACATGTTCAAGTTGACTGAACGTGTTAAATAATAACTTGTTCATCTGACTGTCAAAAAGGCTGTTCCTTTGAGTAGAAGGTATACTTGATCTGGGGGGCAGTTGGTAAGATGGCATTGTTTGGGTGTTTGGGGAGGACAGCAGTATCCCACTGGAGGAGCTGGACCCCAAGATGGTCTTGTCAAAATCCCAGGACTATATACTTTAGTCTTGGGCCAGGTAAGGTTGTGTGTTTTACTATATAGGAGTTAAGTGTTCTCTCCCAAATATGGGTTTGGATTATAAATTTAGTTTATTGAGGTGAAAGCACTTGCATTGCGAATACATGGACAGAGGAGGAGCGTTTTAGGTAGTCGATAGTAGATAACAATGTCATGACAGAATTAATTTGATATCCACTCCTTCAAGAAAACTTCTTCAGAAGGAAAGAAGAATAACTTTTAGAATAGCCTTGACAACTAGGGAATAAGAAACACCTAGTTGAAGAAATGTGCAGTAAAAACTAATAATCTCAAGGAGAAGTGCAATTCTTTAGTTTGTCAATTATCCATCAATCATACAAACATTTTCCACACAAGCAACATACAAAGTGGTCATATATTTCAGACCTTAGAATAACTATCAAGAAAGATGTATCTTATCTATTTGTGTTTGTGGTATACAGTTAGGTAACTGTGGTCATATAGGCTAGCCAGTGGTGATTGCAGTGATATGACAGGAGCCAGTGGCCGCACCTCAAAGCAGCAATGTCCAGTTTGTCAGACTCTGTCAACTAGTATCACTGTCATTCACAAGCTTAAGTAAAAGAGGGAACAAGTTCCCTCCTTAAGGCCGTCGACACACGGGAAGACTGTTTTTCAACTGAAATCGGCGTTCCGACCGATGTAGATAGGTGGGACAGTACACACGGTGCGACTGCGATGCGACTAGTTGAGGACCAGTCGGCGATCAGTCATAAAAATCCAGACCTGCCGGTTGAAAGGTGATTTTGCCTGGTTTGAACAACTTTTCGCTTATTTGTATTGCGCTTTAAAGGATCGGGCATCCCAACTGCAATAACTCCTCATAAGTACTTTTTGACATCCTGTACATAGACTGAAATTTTGCGACTGTTTCTTGTAATGCAGCAGCAGCTACAAAGAGCCTACATTGAATATTTGTTTTAACATAATGATGTACCCAATACCTTCTACATCCTCTACGCTTTCTTGATTGTTTATAAAACACCAGGGCTTCTTCACCACTACTACTCATTTCAAACACCATACACAGTACACAGTATCATTATAACAAAATTAGGACTCATTCACTGTCTCAACTCAACTACAATTATTTCAGTCACGCCCGTGTGCGGATTTAACCAACGCAACTGCAATCGTAATCGCGTCACAAAACAGTTGGTTCAACTTTAGTTCGGTTTCAGTCTTCCCGTGTGTCAACCGCCTAAGTCCTAAATCTGCCTGAAAATACAAAGACAATATAAATTTAACTTTCTCTTACCTCTGCGCTAGTATCATTGTCTGTGATTACTCGGTGAGTCACCAGTGTCTCAGTCCGTGACTCCATCTGTACAACACAAGGTAAAACATATCAAGTTTATTACAAAATTACTATACTTCAGGCACAGATTAGTTCTAAAAAATTGATATCAAACAGCTTACATTGTACCATAGATAAAGATTTTAAAACATTTCACTCCAGTAGAATCTCTCTTGTTCGGAACCGTTTGGTTAGTGTTTGAATTGTTCGGATCCCACACTCACAGACTCACTCGTCTTTGTCTGTAGCCACGTAAAGAATCATATTCACAACCTGTTCAATTCAATTGTTTTTCATTTAAAGATATACAATGAGTATACATGAATGTTGTATTGACATTTTGTTTAGCACAGCTCAGTACAAACATGTTGTGAACCCCTTTATTGTTCAGTATAACAGCTCGTTTTACTTATTTTGTTAAACGTAACGTGTAATTTTGCAATGTATTTATGTTGTGATAGTTTGTGGTAGTCCACACACTTTTTTCTTCAAACGTTTGAACAAGGGTTTAGAACCAAAATGTCTGAACAAGAAGAACTCTTTTAAGTACGGTATTTAAAAAGTGATAAACATTTTTAATTAAGTTTCTTTCAATCCTTTACATTTTTTTCTCTGCAAAATGTGCTTATAAAATACAACAAAATATAACATAATCGACTATCAACCAACCATAAGTACATACATGTCATGTGCATTTTAAAAGGCAGGACACTGTTTGGTGTGTAAATTATTGTCAGGTCTGTAATTTGCTTCAACCTTGAACTTTCAAAGATGAATGTGTCAATATGTCAGTGGAAGGGAATAGACAATGCGATATTAGAGAGGACCTCAAAATAAACTTTAATAAATTCAAACACGTTTTATACTAATTATATTTTTTGTGCGACTGTAACAAATTACATGGTAGCCTATAAACCATTATTCAATACAATGCCATTAGCAAGATAACAAATGAAAATGACTCAGTAAGTGACTCACCCACTAACTGATTCAATAATATCCAGTGAGTCAACAACAGTAAAACATGTGGCTGGCAGAAAATGTTGAATAACCTATACAGTACAAACAGTTTAACTTATAGACACTACGTTCCAAAACTGCAGACTTTACTAGAGACTTACCCGATCCTAAAACTACTCAACTCATTAATCATTGGATGTGTGCTAACATATCATTCCACTGTGATTATGTTCAAGACTCTGCTACCTACATTTTTTAGTTTATAGCTTTGACAATGTCTATTGCACAACTGTGTCTAATGACAATAAAGGATTCTTATTCTTTATAGAAGAATTTCAAACAGATTTGAAAACATTGTTTGTAAGTAAATATTTGGATACAAAATACATAAATAAATGTATTTGCTCCAGGCTAAAAACTAATTTTAATGTGATACTACAAAAACTGGAATGTATTTTTTACGACTTTAATACCGTACCACAACTATCAGAGATGGCATAAGATCTCAAAAGAAGGGTCTGACTTAGGGGAGGTACGAATGAGGCATTAGTTCAAAATTCCTCCGTGAACAGCGCTGTAGTAGAGAGCACTTTGGCAATGAAGGTTTACTAATCGCAAAAATAGTTCTGTTCATAAAATAAAATTATAAATGCCTCAAATTCAATTTTATAATTTATTAAATATAAAATTAAACTATCATAACCTAACCGAACTAACAAAACTTGCTGATAATAAAATAATATAACAAAAGTTTAGTAATAAAAAAATAATTCTGTTTATTAAATAAAACTAGATATTGCTCAATTAAAATTTTATAATGACTTAATAATAAAATTAAACTGTCATAACCGAACCAAACTTGCTGATAATGAAAAAATCTTGGACAAAAAGTTAGTGCTACCAGCGGGATTCGAACCCAAGACCTTCAGCATACCAGCCCGGCACGCTAACCAATAGACCACCAAGGCCGATGGCCACAGACCGTATTGTTACGGTAATGGCGTTCCTTCAGCTAATAAGAAGTCCACAGCTGTCATCGTAGGCTCTTCTACACCTCCCCTGAGTAAATACCTCAAAAGAATTGTCAATTTAAAACAACAAATAATAATGTTTGCCAAATGTTTTTGTGTTATGTATATTTAACTGAACTGTAAGTTTTGTTCATTTCTATGCAATAGGCCAACTGTTTGATGCATTTAGAGCCCTTATCCAACACTTTATATATAACTAGTGGCTTGTAAGGACATAAGTCGCTAAAAAGCTCAAATGTAAAACAAATTATTGTAATATTTAAACAAACTCAGAATTAAATTATCTATGTGTCAGAATAGATATCCCTGTACACCATATCTTTTGGGTATAAACATTTTTTTTGTCTTTGTTTGCTTTTATTGACATTATTTTCAATAAATTATTCGAATCACTTCAGAGGTTTAACTCTGCCAGAGGCAGCAAACATATAATTGTTTGTGAATGAATACTGGTTTACTAAAGTAGCTTTCGTGTTTGGTCTTGTAGTTAATCATGACAAAAAAGGATTCGATTGGAATTTTGGTAATTGTCTTTGTCGAATATGAAAAGGCAAATAAATTACCTTATTACCTTATTACCGATTCTTCATCTTTTACCCCATGGGGGATTGATGGCGTCATTAAAAATATGTGTGTTTAAGAAACGTAAATAAATAGAAACTATCTCTAGGTTTTACTGTTATATACAGATGCTCTCTTTACTATATAGGCCTATACCATACATGCTAGGCTATATTATTGGAACCTTTTTATTTTGGAGAAACGGACAGTACCTACCTGTTTAAAATCCCCTCCTAACAATATTGTTTTTTTTTCTCCCAATGAAACCTGTCATAGTATTTACTTATTAATTAACAAATACAGTAGACCCCCTCTTAACCGACCTCGTATTAACCGATAATCGGATTATCCGCCTTCGATCTTAAAATAATACAGTTTGTTTTAACCGACCTTGCTTTGAGAGCAGCTCGGTTTAACCGCCGCTTTCTAGGAATCTCGGCATTTCCGCTCCCACGCTGGGCGATGAGAACTGAACTATACGCTTATCTCCACAGGATATGACTAACAATAAGTTATTTTGTGTTGATTACAAAAAATATAGCATAGCCTATTGTCAGTTTGTCACCATTGTTCGTAGCTCAAGCACATCTGATCTGATTTGTTATCTGTGCGGCAAATTTATAACATCATAAAAACACGTTACGATTTTGAGAACTGATTATCTTATCGCCGGAGTAAACAAACAACGCAACTTGTAGGGAAGGCAGGGAAGGGGGGTTAACAACTCCAAGGTCAAGATAGTTTTTTTGCCTCGAGCCCCCAGTGAGAGGCTATAAAAAAACATCCTGTCTTGTAACAAAATGGTCGCTTGTATCTTTAATGTCGACAAAAGGTTCTGTACCGTATTACGATGTATTTGGAAAGCATCAATTAATACATTACAGTACTAAATTTATTAAAATAGGAATTTTATTGACTCTTGCCTAGTACTATAATATATTCCACTGAAAGTAGGCCTATTTGACTTAACCGTGTTTTGTATTTATTTGTGACTTTTCTATCAATATGAAAAAGGAAATAAGAGTAGTTTATTTAATAAATAATGCAAGTATGACTTCAAAATAATAATTATATAATTCCAAAAGAATAGCACTTCATTATGTTCTGATTTTAGGGATTGCCCGTTTTATCCGACCTTTTGAGTTATCCGACCTAGGTCCGGTCCCATTAGGGTCGGTTAAGAGGGGGTCTACTGTATATTGCTTGTACAAACCTATTTCATCTTTACTCCCAGGTTATTTTCTAAGAGTAGCCGTTGAGATTATTCCACTTCATAAAAAATATTGATTAAAAACGCTACAATAAATCTTAAATTAAAAATATTAATAAATTTACAAAGAAAGTGTAGAATAAATCTTTAACATATGTTTTGAAATTAAAACAAAGCAGAAGTTTTCCATTTAATCTTGAATTTTTTACTAAGTTCAATTCCTTACTGAGCCATCTCCTATTATTCTACTATTTATTATCCGCTTAACTAATTGGCTTAAAAATACACAGTTTGCGAATTGCACAGTAAATAATTGATTTCAAAATTCTAAAATGTAACTAAAAAGTCTTAATTATTATAGGTACTTAACGTTATCCCTGGTTTTATATAGTATACAGTACATTGCAGAATCACAGAGGATACGCGTCCAGCAGTGACGTCACCGGGTTGTGGGGGCCCGGAACGCCATTACCACAACGATACGATGTATAGCCATCTGTGTTCGTGATGCTCGGCTGATATGATAGAGGTCCCGGGGTCGAATCCCATCGGTAGCATAAATTTTTTGTCTAAGATTTGTCTTTGAATGCCATTTCTTCATAACTGATCTTTTGTTAGAATTTTTGGCATTTATAATTTTATTTTATGAACAGAACTTAACCTTCATTCGATTTTTTCATTATCAGCAAGTTTGGTTGGTTAAGTTAGGTTATGACAGTAACAGCCGGACGCCTAATCCATGTCCGGTTACCGGACGCGTATCCTATGCGATGAAGAATTGACTGGCAAATGAGTAATCCAAATGTAATATTGCTTACTGACTTAATGATAAATCATGATCAGCTGTATTGAAGTAAACAAAAATCAACAGTAAATGGCTTCTGATGCTGTTCTTATGGAGAACATTTTATGTTATTTTATTGACTACTAGCTGTTGTACCCGTGCTTTGCAACGCGGGAAGAGGACACAAAATAGAAACATTTTAATCTTTACATTTGTTGCATATAATAGTTACAAATCCGCCAACGCTTTTAGAAACAAAATTCTACTTTTATGGCCTTAATATAAACGTTTAAGTTATGACTTATAAATCTGGTAAGTAGTGGATACCACCATTTTGGTTTTGATTAATTTTAAATCTTGTGTAGGCTGATATGAGAAAAACTGACCAAATCTTCGAACAAAACTTTGACATACATGATGTACCTTCATCTCCCTTAATTACATATCTTTTAATTTATTATTGACATTTTAAATT